GAGGTGGTCTGAACACAGAGGACAGCTCAGAGGCAGATGGAAATCAGCATGGCTGTCACACTGACACTGTGTCTTTCCCACAGGACAGACAGCGAAAGCCGAAACCCCAGCCAGGTGAGCGCCATCCGGGTCCTCTGCAAGAGCAGCCCGTGCTCTTAACCACTGCAAAATCTCTCCAGCCCCTTGAATAACATGAAAAAAAATTTTAAAAACCACACGCAGGGCTCCTACGTCGCCCACCCTGACTCATCGGGTCGGCTTCCTCCTTGTCCTCGGTGACATCAGGCTCCTCAATGTCACCAGCCTCAGACCCTGAGGGAGCGCACAGGGGTCTCAGGGAGTCTCCTTCCCAGGGCAGCCCACCCCCAGGTCCCTCAGGTTCTGTCTCCCTCTCTCCTTCCATTTCCTAAGCTCCCCTCGCTGTGACACTGGGGTCCTTGGACCTCTGCCGGGACAACCAGCCCTCCCCTCTTTACCTCTCCTCTGTTTCTCCGTGGTCAGTGAGCCCCGCTCCCCCAGGAATCCCACGTCCTCGTCTTCTGTTCCTCCTGCCCTGCTCTCCTCACCTGCCAACCTCTCTGCTTCTCTCTGCTTTTCTTTTCCCTGTTGCACACGGCCTGCTCGGAGTCCTCCTGTTCTGACCCCTATTGTCTGAGACAGGGTCTCATGCAGACCAGCCTGGCCTCGAGCTCACTATGTAGCCAAGGCTAGCCCTGAACTTCTGATCTCTTGCCTCCACCTCCCAGCTGTTGGGGTGACAGGCATCACTCCATACCTGGTTATGCGGTGCTGGGGACAGAACCCTGGGCCTTGTGCACACCAAGCAAGCCCTCTCGTAGCCACCCTGCCTCCCCAGCTTCCTCCCCCTTTCATCTGCCGGTGGCTTCTTTGGCCAGATGCTCTTCCTCCAGGCTGATCTCAGGGCGCTTCTCCCGCCAAGTCAGCTGAGCGCCTTCCCAGAGGACCTGAAACTCTGCTGTCTTCTAGTTTTAACCACGGTAGTGAGAGAGGATAGAGTTACTTCTCCCTGTCTCTGGTCTCTGTTGCTGCCAGTGCAGGATTTCCTAGAATAACTCACATCAGGTAGTGCTAAGAGCCCTCGGCCAGGCCTCCTTACCCATGGCCTCTCATGCTCTTCCAGAGAGGGACTAACACCATCATGCTCATCTTGGCTCAGCTCCTGGTGTAGGGGCATGCGTGTGTGCGTGCGTGTGTGTGTGTGTGTGTGTGTGTGTGTGTGTGTGTGTGTGTGTGTGTGTGTGTTAGTTCTCAGGGGCCGTCCACTGTTTTATCACATTGTTTGTGTGTGCGTGTGTATATATGTATGTGACCATGAGCTTTTCATGGCACAATGTGGATGTCAGAGGACAACTTCAGAGAGCTGTCTCTTTCCTTCCACCCTGTGGGTCCCTGTGATGAAATCTGGCTTGTCACTCTTAATGGCATGGACTACCCCCACTATGTCATTTCTCCAGACCCATCTTGGGTTTTGTGGTTTTGGTTTTCTTTTGTTTGGGCTTTTGCTTTTGAGACAGGGTCTTGCACTGGTCTGAACTCCGGGGACTCATCTGCCTGTCTCTGCGTCTCCAGCATGCAGCTTTATGTGGTCTGAAGTCAGGACTTCTGTCTGTGTGACGAGCCCTTTCCTAGCTGAGCCGCGTCTCCAGGCCAGCACCTGATGGCTCCATTCTTTCTGGTCCAGCTGCTAATGTGTTACCCATCTCGTTCTTATGCAGGGAACTCATTGAAAACACCGAGACACACCAGAACGTCGAACCTGAAGGTAAATCCTGCCAGCTTCTTGTTTCCACACTCGGCTCTGACATCTTCTCCCAAGACCCCACACTTCCATGAGCGTTCCCTCAGTATTTTCGTCTTTCCCTCCTTCTCCCTGTCCCTCCCATGTAAACAAGGTCCTCGCCTCACTGTTGGAACTCCCAGCCATCCTTGTCCTTCCTGTCACAAGGCTTGACTTCAGAGTTCTGCATTCCTTTTTCTCTAGGGCAATATAAGGACCCCAGGGGGAACCCCAAGGTGAGCAACTGAGACTCAGGTCTGGGGGAAGTGAAGGTGTTGAAGGGGCAGAAGGGTGGAGGCGGTGGTGTGGGTGGGGCAGACACGCGGCTGCACTGCTGCCTCTGACCTCTTGTCCCCAGGATAACATCGTGTATGCCTCCATCGCCCTCTCAAGCCCGGCCTCCCCAGGAACACCGCCCTGCCAGCCTGTCCACGGGAGCCCCCAGGAGGAGACTGTGTACTCCATCCTAAGGACCAAATGAGTGGGTCTGGGCGGCCACCTCAGAGTCACCTCTGCTTCTAGTAGGAAGACTCCACTGATACCACAGCCAGAGACAGAAGCTCAGGGTCACAGACACCCATGGCCAGAGACAGAAATTCACTTGTCAGGGAGTTTGAACTCACAGAAACTGAGAAACTCCCAGTTCCCTTTTCTAACTTCCTAGGCCTGTCTCTCAAGAATAAAAAGATCTACAGAATTTGCCTAAATGAATCTAACTAAGGGACATCAATTGTGACCCTTGACTTCTGGCCCTCAGAGACCCCTCCTCTATCAAACAGTAGGAGTAGCAGAACACACTACTCCTCAAAGAGGGCTGCCAGGAACCCCTCTGAGCCGTCCCTCTGCTGCGAATCCCCTCTCTCCTCTGGCTCTCCAATGTCTTCCATGAGTTGCTCCAAGTCCAGGTCACTGGAACCATCATCTTCAGGGGGGAAGAGTGCTGCCTCCCGTGTCAGGGGCTCCTGAGGTCCAGCACCTTCCTTTCCCAATGGACAAGCCCCATGGACAGCTGGTGGGGTCGGGCACTTGGACACAATTTTAATTTCTTTCTCCTCAAGTAAGGTGGTAGCTGAGGCCTTGCTTTTGGGAGCCTTAAATTTCTTTTTAGGGCCTAAAGAGAACAAGGGACAAGGTTGAGAGTCCCCTAAGTCAACTATCTGGGGTTTTACAGCCAGGTTTCAGATCTTTGTTTAAAGCATCTGTAGGAGAATCAGGTATGGGAGGTGCCCAGGGTTCAGAAGGGCTCAGCCTCTAAAAGGTGAGAGGAGTAACTGAGAGGTGGGAGAGCCAGTTCCAGGCAGGCAAAGGTGATGGGGGGGGGTGAGTGCAGAGCAGGGGAAGCAGGGAAGGGACAGGAGTTCAAGGCAGGGGGAGGGAAGTAAAGGGAGAGGGCATGGACAAGGGACCCTGGACACAGCTGTCCCCTGATTGGCTGTGCTGTGCAGGAGGACAGCTGAGGACTGGCCTCAGGCCCTGGTGACTCTCTTCCCGTCCCTGAATGGCTGCTGCAGAGCTGTGTGCTGCCCTGGGCCCCTAATGCTGTCTGAACACAGAGAGCAGTGAGAGGCAGAGGGAGGGTCAGCATGGCTGCCTCACTGACACTGTCTCTTCTCCTGCAGGCCAGCAGCCTAAAGCCCAAACCCCAGCCAGGTGAGCGCCTGTGGGGCCGTTGGTGGGTTGAATATAAATTTCCCTGTAGGCTCAAGGATTTTCATGCTTGGTCACCTGACAGTGACACATAGAGGTGTGGCCTTGATGGAGTAGGTGTGGCCTTGAGAGAAGAAGTTGGTCATGGGAGGTGGGATTTGGTACCTCCAATGCTCACGCCAGGCACAGTGTCTCTGCCTGCTGGCTGCATATCCGGATGTAGAACTCTTACCTACTGTTCCTGCACTATGTCTGTCTACATGCAACCATGCTCTCTGCCATGATGATAAAGGACTACCCCTTTGCAACTCAAAGCCAGCCCCAATTGAATGTTTTCCTTTTTAATAAGTTGCCATGGTCATGGTGTCTACTAATAGCAATAGAACTTTGACTAAGACAGAATGTTTGGGGAACTTTGCTGTAAGTATCATGCTGTAGAGCTTAAGAGATGATTTAGTTAGTAAAGCATTTGCCACACGGCATTCAGACCTGCCTTTGACAGGAGGTGTAGACAGATGGGAAGTTTTCATTAATGAGGTTATTTGCTGAGTCAGGACACTTGGGGCCTGCACTGTGGGTTATTCCAGGGAAGTTTCTGGAATTGGATGGTTCAGACAGAAACAGCAAATGTTGAGCCTGTTCTCTGGGTCCCCCGGCCATCAACCAGATACGGCTGCCTCACGTACTCATAAGAGAAGATGTGACCCAATCCTCATAGAGAGTACGTGACTCTGGACCACACTGCTACCTCTGCTAAATTCCAGAAACAGGCCTGAGCTTAATCAGCAGTTAAAGATTAGCTCAACAGAAAGCCCCAATTCCTCCAGGAGTTAGGCGAGGACATAGGAGAGATGGAGACAGATAAAGTAAGGACCTACTGTCAGGTTACCTGGCAGAGGTTCTACCCCCTACCTTTTGCCCTGTGAATTAGGTTTCCAGGCAGCACAGAGGGTCACCCCTCCCCCTGACCTTCGCTCCGCCAGGCTCACTGCAGCTGCAGCACACCCCCATTCTTCCCCTCCTCCCTTCCCCGATATAAATCCCTTTGGGATGAAATAAAGTTGTCGCCTTGATCAGACTCCTGTCTTGGCGTCCATTCTTTTGTATCTCCTGTTCTCATCTTTCTCCTAGGTGCCTACCAGACCCACGTTGAATGTCCTGCGGGTTGGGACATTACAACAAACTTCCCCAAACAGCCTGTCTGACAAAGACCATTGCTGTGGAGAGACACTATGACCACGGCAGCTCTTACAAAGGAAAACATTTAATTGGGGCTGGCTAGCAGTGTCAGAGGCTTAGTCCATTGTCATCATGGTGGGAAGCCTGGTGGTCCACGGGAGACGTGGTGCTGAGGAGCTGAGCAGTCGACACCCAGATCGGAGGGAGGCAGCGGGAAGGGGGAGGAAGACTCTGGTCCTGGCGAGCATTTGAAATGCCAAAGCCCACCCCCAGTGACCCACTTCCTGCAATGGGGACACACCTATTCCATCAAGGCCATACATCCCCATGTGCCATTGCTGGTGACATAGTATGTGAATCCTTGAGCCTATGGGGCCATTCTTATGCAAGCCACCACGCCTGCTCCCTGGGATGACGGGCGCTCACCTGGCTGGGGTTTGGGCTTTAGGCTGCTGGCCTGCAGGAGAAGAGACAGTGTCAGTGAGGCAGCCATGCTGACCCTCCCTCTGCCTCTCACTGCTCTCTGTGTTCAGACAGCATTAGGGGCCCAGGGCAGCACATAGCTCTGCAGCAGCCATTCAGGGACGGGATGAGAGTCACCAGGGCCTGAGGCCAGTCCTCAGCTGTCCTCCTGCACAGCACAGCCAAGCAGGGGACAGCTGTGTCCAGGGTCCCTTGTCCATGCCCTCTCTGTTTACTTCCCTCCCCCTGCCTTGAACTCCTTCCTGTCCCTTCCCTGCTTCCCCTGCTCTGCACTCACCATGCCTCCCTGGAGACTTCTCTCTAGCTTCCCCTGTGAGTGTAGGCTGCTGCCACCCTGCAGGTTCAGCCTCAGGGTTCGAATCCCAGTCTGACTTGTGCTGTGTGTGAGGCCGCTGCTCTCCAGCTCAGATCCCTCACTGGAGGGCTGAGCCTTCTGAAACCGTGGGACACATGTCTGTGTTCCCATCACATTCCACCATCTATGCGTCTTTGTTCCTAACTGTAGTCTTCTTCTTACCATGGATTTAAATCTGCTCTGAACCCAGTCTGCACTTGACTCTTGTTTTTGAGCCTGGGCTCGTGGAAACTACTGATGGCCTTGAACTCCTAGTCCCCTCTGTACTTTCCCATTTCCAGAATTAGAGAAGTTTCCCACTTTGTCCCCATTTTTCTTAGAATCCTTATGAATTTTGGAAGATAATTCATTTCTCTCTACAAAACTGCAACTGGAAGTTGAATAAGGATTGCATTGAATTTTTAGAGTGTATATGTCTAAATTTTTCCATTTTGCAAATAATAGGTAGCCTTACATGTATTAATATTTGCCAAATTTTTGAATTTTGCTTTTGGGCAGCATGTGTATGTATGTGTACATTTGCACATGTGTACACACATGTGGATGGATGAGAACAGCCATGGGCAAAAGTTCTGCACACGCCATTGACTTGCCTGTCACTGATGAGCTAGGCTGGCTGCACAGTGAGGCTCAGGATCCCACCGTCTCTGCCGGTTTACGTGTCTGCCACCGTGGCCAACTTTCCATGTGGGTCCTGGACTGGAACCCATGTGCAAGTTCGCGGTCAAACACTTTGCCAAGTGAGCCATCTCCCCGGTTCTCAAATACTTTCTCTCAGCGGTGTTTTGTTTTTAGGCTACAGTAGTGAGGGTTCTACCTAAACACTTCTTTTCCTTTCCTAGGACTGTAACACACTGTGGTCTTAAATTCCCTTTTTATGCCGTATTTCCAACAGTTGCCTCGTTACACAGGTTTCACTTCCTGAGAGATGCTGTCTCTGAACGCTGCGCCCCTTGATTTCCTTCATTTTATCCTCTTTCCCAGATTCAGCCTCCATCCTGTCCTCCTGTTCTCTTTACTTTTCCCTGCACAAGCTCCTCCCTCTCCATCCCCACAGCTGAGAGAACTCAGGGAGCTCGGGTGAGGGCCTGTCCTGGACCACTTACCTTCGCTTCCAGCAGAGGAAGATCGTCAAGACACAGACGGGGGTTATGAGCACAGCCGTGGCCACCACCACCCCGACCGTGGCTCCCAGGCTCACGAGTGAAGGATTCCTCTGGCCCTCTGTGTCCTCCAGGCCAGCTGTGGTGACGTCAGGGGTGACGATGGAGGGACTCTGCATGGTGCTGACAGCTGGAGAGAGAAGAGAGTGAGCAGATCCTCCCTGTGTGAGGGAGGGATGGGGTGACGGTCACACCTTGTCTCCTCTGTGGGATGTGGGATGGGAACAGGTCTTAGAAGTCCATACAGAGAGGGGAACAAAGGCTGAGACTCTAGGAGAGCAACTGGAATGCACGCTCCCCACCTGTGCAACTCAAATGCATGCTCCCCACCTGTCCTGGTGGTTGTCCTCAGATTTTCATTTGGTCACAGATAATTAAACCCTAGAAATACAGTTGGTTTTGTCATAGACAAGTGTAACATGGAGAAATGTTCCAGTCCGTCTACAGTGGTTGCTGCTAAGAAGTTAGTTAGAACCTGAGATTGCTCCCAGTGTCCATAGAAAGAGCTGTGTGATCTTAGCCCTAGAAGCAGAGGCAGGCAGATCTCTGTGAGATAAAGTCAGCCAGATGTTTGGAACAAAGCGGGATGATCTGGAGGGGACAGCATGTGCTAAGGCCTAGAGAGTGGGGTGGGTTTCTGTCTGAGAAGAGAATGACGGACAAGGCCAGAGGCAGCAAAGGCTTGTCATGACTACAAGGGAAAGGTCATGTTGGCAGAAGCAAGGGAAAGGAATATGAAAGAAAGCTCAAGAGTTGTTGATCCTGAGGAGACTTCTAGTGGACAAGGAAGCCAGAGGCATCAAAATCAGAGACAGGAGGCTCACCACGGATGATGGTAAGGTTGGTCCCAGGAATCGACTGCCAGCTCTCCGTGCCTTCTCTTGTGTTCAGATGAACTCGGCAGAAGTACACTGTCTGGTCCTCCTCCTTCAAGTCCAGGATTCTGAGGACTCCGGATGTCTGAGGCTGTGTCCAATTCAATACCAGACGGTTCTTGAAATGCTCATGTATGAAATGCGGGGAGGAGTTGTAGATAAATTCCCCCATGGAAGTGCTTCCATTTCCAGAAAACCCTCATCTGTGGATCGTTGGTCAACTCCCAGGGGAAGTAGGAGGAGAAGGGGATCTCGATGGAGCCGCCCTGGACACCAGAGAGGGGTGCTGGTTGGTTGACCCCAAACAGTCTTTCTCTGTTTGATTCTGCTGAGTTTCCTGGGAAGAAATCTGAAGCCACTGCAGGGACAGAAAGGACAACCCAGATCACAGGAGCCTTCGCCCACAGGCGGGTGTGGGCAGAAGGCAAGACTGTCACTCTGGAAAGTGAATAGGAAGGACAGGGAAAGGTTGGGCTGGACCCATTCTGAAGGATGAACTCTCTCTCAGGGCGGAAAGGACAGGCTGGCTGGCTCCTAGACCAGTCACCTGTCCACATATCAGGCCCCTCTTCCCAGTCCCACATAACCACAGGGACATCTCTGAGAGTGGACACAGCTGGCCTGTGACTAGGGTGAGATGTGAGAGGTGGGGGCAGAGGCTGTGGTGGCCCCAGGACTGGTTCTGTAGGAGCGTCATCCTACTGTTCCCATGACAAGGCTCCATCAGTTCCCTGAAGGCCAGAAAGGCATGATTGTACCAGAGGAAGTGGCATCAGTCTCCCGGAGTGGCACATGTAGAGGTGACTTCCCATTTCCTTAGATTCCTGGCACTGATTGCCTCCTCCACGCTAGCCTGCAGGCAGTTAAACAGCCCACCCTCTCTCATATCTGCTTTTTCAGACAGCCTTCCTCACTGTCCCCATGGTCCTCAGATCCCTTGATTCAGCCAGGCTCTCAGCTCCTGTGACTTCTCTTAGTTCTATAGACTCTGCTGACACAGCTATGTCCATTGTTCCCTGAGGACCTGAAGGCACAGGGTCTTTGGGATACATTGGTTTTGCATGCAGTTTACTTAGAAGAGGGGGCAGGTGACCCGTTTCCTTTGTCGCCAGAGTCTTTCGCTGGTTTGTTTTGTAGATGGAGGTCTTGCCTAGCTCAGGCTACGTAGCCGAGGATGACCATGAACACCCCCTTTTCCCCCTGTGCTGGGATTACGAGCATCCACCACCACACCCAGTGTACGTGATGCTGGGGCTCCTCACGCGTGCTAGGCAAGCGTTGTACCAGCCGAGCTGCTCAAGCCCAGGCAGGGTCTTCAGAGGACGCCCAGCTCTAGTGTCTTTCTGGCCTTTTCCTACCATGTGCAGGCTGTGGGAATGATGTATCCTTCCCCCATGGGGGTCTGCTGACCTGTTTGTGACTAGGAGCTTCTAGCAAAACACTTCTCGTTCCCTCCTCCCAGTAAGGCCTTCGTGCAAGTTCCGGTTTTCTGTCCATCCCTATTGTCTAGCTGCTAATTCCTGTTTTGGGCCCACCTTTTGCTGGAGGGCCCTGGGAATACAGGCTTCTGACCTTGGTGTTTTCCCACCATGCCTGCCTTTGGTATATAAGGGTCCTAAAATAAACGCCATTCCCCTTGTCAGAATGAGCTGCTGTCTTTGTCTTCGTTTATATCCTTAGCCCTTGGCCTTGGATTGTTGTGAAGTGTTGTAGCCCCATAACTGAGAACCTCGCTGCTGCTGCCTTCTGTCTCCTTAAAGCCAAGGACACAATCTTTTCCCTTTCCCTGCCCTGAACCCAGCTGGTCCCTCATAAAGATCTCCTAGGATGGGCTTGTCAGGGATATTAGGCACACAGTTTCGTAACTGTCAATGGTATTTCCCAACATGAGAAACAAGGCCGAGGAGTCACCCGGAGCCTCGGCACTGCCATATGGGAGGAGGGAGATTTTGGATCATAGGGGCCCAGGGTTTTGATGATCAAAAACCGGGACGCTTGAAGGAATAGCATCTGCTGCCAGGCCATTCTTATCCTTTCTGTTGGCATCCGGAAGTGCTCTGCAGGTGAAAGACCCCCAGATGGGGAGACCCCCACTCAAGTCTCGGGATAAGCCGACGCCCCAATGATTCAAGAGAGACCGTTCTTGCTGCAAGCACACGAGGTTTATTCGGGGAACCAGTGCACTGGGGCCGAGCTCATGACCCTCGCAGGGGCCGAGGAGATCGACCCCTAGTAGCTGCAGTCTGGGGGTTTTAAAAGGGAAAAACTGAATCGGGGAGTTAGGCAAACATCATAAAGGATGAGGAAGTTAAATGATAGCTTATGACTTAACAGGAAGGTTATCTCAGGCAAGCATTCTTTGGGCATTGTACAGTTAAACATTGAGCAGGAATGTGGCGAGCTAGTTCCTGGATAAGGGAGGGTTATCTTTTAGGTTTATCTTGTGGTCTCCAGTTTCTCAGGAGAGGGCAAAAGGGAAAGTCACTCTGTGACATACAGAACCTCAGACCACAGGTTCGCCCTTGGGCCAGGCAGTAAACTGCCTCCCTGGATTTGTGAAGGTGATGTTGAGGGAGTCTAGGTCCTTGTTTTTTCTAGCGACAGTCATCAAGTCCCATAGGGATGTGGGACGCCAGTGGGCATCTCCGGTATTTTCACATCCCCATTGTTCGCAATAGAAATGTCCCAGTCCTCCACATCTATGCATCTCCGACCTAGATCTGCCGTCTCTAGGGCAAACATAAAAGGAGGTCTGCTGCAGTCTTCTCTGCATAGATCTACCTTTACATCCCGGGGAATCAGCAAGGTGCTGGCCCTGTGAAACTGTTCCTTGATGAAGGGACCGTTTTTGTAAATGCACCTCTTCTAAGGGTATTTCTTCATGAGTCAACCCAGGAATGTCCCATAAGTCTAACCCTGCCATCAGGGCACCGATTTCAGGAAACAAAGAGGGCCACCAAGTACCAGGGGGAGCGACTTTAGAGGTGGCCCAGACTACATCCCCAGCTTGTGATAGTACCTGCCAGGTTAATGCTTGAGGAGCATGGGGATTTCTATTATTCTCCTGTGGTGAGCAGCCGACATAAACACAGCTTAAGAGGATCACCAGTCCGTTACAGCTTCCAGGAGTCATCTTGGGTTGCAGGAGGGGCTGCTTTGATGTGGGATGCGTGGATCCAGGCTGGGATGCCATCAACCTTGATGGAGCTGGGACTTGTCAGGAGCACCAGGTACGGTCCCTTCCACCTGGGTCCGAGGTTGCCGGATCGATGACACTGGACCAGGACGGAGTGTCCAACTTGGAACTTATGGGGTACAGCTGTGGTTCCCGGTTCGTATGCTCCTTTTAGCTGTTCCCAGGCATCCTTTCTGACCAGTTCAAGAGCCTTTAAACAAGCTAACATGGGTTGGGAGAAAGAGGCATCAAGATCAAGTACCCCTCCTGCTTCTTGCAAGGGGGGCAGTCCCCCATGGAGGAGCTTGAATGGTGTGAGTTTAAATTTCCTTGGGGTGTTCCGTACTCAGAACAAGGTGAAGGGCAGGAGGGCTGTCCAGTCCTTTCCATTGGTCTCTAAGGTTAATTTAGTCAATGTCTCTTTTAATGTTCTATTTATTCTTTCTACCTGTCCTGAGCTCTGGGGTCTATAAGCACAATGTAATTTCCAATTAATCCCCAGTTGGGAGGTCCCTGATTTACCTGGGCAACGAAGGCAGGGCCATTGTCTGATCCAATTACCTTAGGGATGCCGAATTGTGGGAAAATATCCTCCAGTATCTTCTTTGCTACCACGTTAGCTGTTTCCCTTTTTGTAGGGAAAGCCTCTACCCATCCTGAGAAGGTATCTATGAAAACTAATAAATATTTGTTACCATATTTTGCTGGTTTAACTTCTGTGAAATTGACCTCCCAGTATGCTCCTGGCCTTTCTCCCCGGAGGCGTTTGCCAGGGGCACCTAGGTGATGTCCAGCGTTGGTTAAGGCACAGGCCTTGAAATTCTGAACTACTTTTTGAGCAATGTCCGAGAGGCCCATGACATGATAATCAGAGTGACGTATGACGTCCTTTAGCTTCTTTGTCCCTAGATGAGTTACTTGATGTAAATTGGTGACAATGTTGTTCCTCCTCTTGGGGTAGTATCGATTTGCCATCTTCTGTCTCGGCTACTCCATAGGGGGAGTAGCCATGTACAATTTTTAGTTTCTCCATCTGCTTATGATCTTCAGGGGTATATCTGAAGCTAGTTTCTCTAATGTCATAATAGTCTTTAGGTTCCTTAGTTTTTTGTTCAGCTGCGAGGATCATAACTCCTTGAGCCGCCTGCTTGGCAGCCGTGTCAGCCATTTGATTTCCCTTACCTATGACATCTTGGCTCTTTTGGTGGCTGGGACAATGTATAATGGCCAGTTTCTTTGGCAAATGTATGGCCTCTAACAGGCTCAAGATTTCTTCTTTATTTTTAACGCCCTTTCCAGCCGACATGAGTAACCCCCTCTGTTTATAAATTGCCCCATGTATGTGAGCGGTGGCGAAAGCGTACCTGCTGTCCGTGTAGATGTTGATACCCTTTCCTTCTGTCAGCCACAAGGCTTGGGTGAGTGCGATCAGCTCAGCTTTTTGGGCCAATGTTCCCTCAGGTAAGCTGCTGGCCCAGATGGTCCGATTCCCGTCTACTACCGCCGCCCCAGCTCTCCGCTTACGTTCAACCACGAAGCTGCTACAGTCCGTGCACCAATTAGGGCACCCTGGCCATGGCTGATCAGTGAGGTCTTTCCTTGTTCTGGTTTCTTCTGCCAGGATGTGCATACACTGGTGTACCGGTAATGAGTAGTCTGTCTCTGGCAGCAAGGAGGCAGGGTTTAGGATAGCCAGGGGTGCAAACAGCACTCTCTCAGTTAACTAGAGGCTCTGATAGTGAGCCATGCGGGCGATGGTCATCCAGCGGTCAGGCGGTGTCTGATGATGCTTTCCAGGGAGTGTGGGGCTACCACTACAGTCTGTTGACCTAAAGTTAGTTTGTCGGCGTCTTTGAGAAGCAGTGCCACTGCGGCGATGGCTTTTAGGCAAGATGGCCATCCACTGGCTACAGGATCTAATTTCTTTGACAGGTAGGCCACAGGTCGTTTCCATGGTCCCAAGGCCTGAGTTAGGACCCCTCACACTATTCCTGCCCTTTCACCTACATAGAGTGAATGGCTTTGTCAGATCTAGCAGGGCTAGGGCTGGTGCACTGAGTAAAGCCCTCTTGATCTCTTCAAAGGCTTTCTGATGGTCGAGGGTCCATGAGAAAGTCCCAGTCTCCTTAGTGAGGGAATAGAGTGGGGCTGCCAGGGTGGCAAAACCTGGAATCCAGAGTCTACAAAACCCTGCAGTACCTAGAAATTCTCTCACTTGCTTTGGGGTTGCAGGAGTAGGGATTGTGTCACGGTCTTTTTCCTAGCTTCGGTCAGCCATCACGTCCCCTCCTTAAGAGTGTGGCCCAAGTAGGTTACTTCTGTCTGACAAATCTGGGCTTTCCTTACTGAAGCCCTGTACCCCAACTCACCCAGCTCAGTCAGTACTCTCTCAGTCCCCAGGCTGCACTCTTGCTCGGTGACAGCAGCTAGGAGCAAATCATCAACATATTGAAGCAGGGTAACTTGAGGATTTTCTGACCTGAACAGAGCCAAATCTCGATGGAGGGCTTCATCGAAGAGAGTAGGGGAGTTTTTAAATCCCTGAGGCAGACGTGGCCAAGTCAGCTGTCCAGCCTGTCCCCGATCTGGGTCTCTCCATTCAAAAGCAAAGATAGCCTGGCTTGTAGGATGTAGTCTCAGGCAAAAGAACACATCTTTCAAGTCCAGAACCGTGTACCATCGTCTGTCAGGAGGGAGAGAACTGAGCAGGTTGTAAGGGTTAGGGACAGTAGGATGGATATCTTGCATCCTTTTGTTAACTTCTCTTAGATCTTGTACTGGCCGGTAATCACTGGTGCCTGGCCTCCTAACTGGCAGCAGTGGAGTATTCCAGGG